ACGAAGGCGACGGAGGAAACAGCAGGGAAAGACTTAGATCAGTGAATACACGGAACGTCTTACTAGGTATCTTTTTTGGCATCGAAAAGGCATAATTAAAATGACTGTGCTTCACCTATATTTAGCTTCATATGGGATCGGTATTGCCAATCAGTTTGGCAATGCATTCAATTTGAGACATAAATTTCATGTAACCCAAAATGAAAAATAAACTCTAAATTTTTGGCTCTTTTTCTTATCTCTCAGACTGTTGAAAGAAACCTGTTTTTTGAGCTCGCACACACTTTTCAAATGTAGTTCTCTATAACAAATCCAAGAAAGCAACGTTAACAATCAACTAAATGGTCTCCCTCACAGAAGCGGTTTCTAATCAGACAGAACAAACAGAGAGGTGGAAATAGCTTAGAAGTGATGTCTTTCACACCCCTTTGCTATGAGTGTTTCACAGTATCGTCGATGTCCTCAAAGTGATGAACCGGAGTGATCATGCTACCTCTTCAACATCACTACGCCGTAGACAAGACGTAGGGATTCGAGGCGTGATCTCTTAAGGAACGAGTTGTGGTAATGAATGGAGGGAGCGAAGGTTATTGAATTTCCTCTTTAGCGAGCAAATAAGAAACGAACTCTCCACATATGCCGAGCGCAGGTTGTTACTGCGAACATGGAATAAAACCTGATGGGAAGAGCGTTTTGCTCACCTTATCGACGCAGGTGAACGTTATGTACTAGCGAGTGGTACCCATAAAAAAACAAGTGACTACTCGAGCAGCTTCCGAAAAGTTTGCGCCAATGCATCGAACAGTTGTTAAGTACTGTATGGAAACATGCAGTTCAGGAGCGAAGAGCCTAGTACAGTTACGTTCGGTGTGTGTGAAAAAAACCCTTGTAATATCACTAACGTGGGATTTCCACATCGTTTTTTCGGGGCTGGTAGCTCGGGCTTTTTACTGTACTTAAATTTGTAGGATGAACACATATTTAAGGCCAGATTTGTTGTTACTACAACTCTTTCCCTCACTCCGCTCTTCTCTCTAATTCTGACGTAT